TGTCTACATCTATAATTTTAAAGCAAGTTAACTTTAAAAAGGATTCCACAGCACCTGTAAGTTTTTTCAGAATCCAAGTCTCTTCCCGAAGTGTGAGAACTTTGAATAGTCAGTCGAATAGCAATCATCTCTGCTTTGCATGCAGCATGTGGTTTCTACCTCCACCTTCATTAGCCAAGAGCCTGGGTGGGCACCACCTTTTGGCTCATCTCCTGCGCAGACCCGAGCAACACTGAGTGACCCTTCAGCTTCTGACTGCGGGGAAGTGGACGAGTTCTTTCAGTGTGGTGTCCCTCACGAATGCTAAGCCCACCTGGAGCTGCTGTGGGAAGGGCCAGTCCATGTAGTTAACATCGTAAATGTTGGTTTTAATAAGTGAAGTGTTTGTGTTTGGGAGGGCCTTAGTTTGCAGAGGAGCAATTACTCTTGAAGTGTTTGGGGTTATTGCTTAGTGCCTAAAGCAAAGGACTGAGACAGGGACCAAGCTCGTTTTGCGGTGTGTTATACAGGGTAACAGAAAAGTCCTGGAAGCATGGAGCATTAGAATGGGAAGTGCCTTCAGATGACCTTATGCAACACCCTCATCTTGCACTTGAGGAAAACAGAGGCTCCAGAGAAGAAAAGCTGGGGACCGAGGGGCTGAGTGTTCCAGGGAATCAGCCCTCAGGCTGCTTTGTATCCACACATCATCCTTTTGCTACGGGCATCACTCCTTTTTACATATGAGAAAACCGAGGCTAAGATGAGGAATCTCTTATTCATTTCCTGTGTGGAGGAGACAAGAGCCAAACCAAGATTTCCCTGATTCCCAGTTTCCGGCAGCCATTTCAAAAACAACCTGCTGCCTTAAGTCTGAAAGCCTTGGTCCTGTCTTCTAATATCTTTGTGACCCTGAGCTTTGATTTCACTGTTTATAAAATAGAATAGCAGAAGAGAAATTAAATGATAGTTAAATGAGATCCCATTGTAACATACTCACGGGACCAGTTTTTTATATCCAAGTTCCAATTGCATGCTAGTGACAGAGTAAAGTGCTCTGTGATCATGATATGAATCACAGATCTGCCAGTAACTAGTTCAGTTTCTTCATCTGTAAAATGGGTACAATAATAGAATATTTCATCATTCTGTCAGGAGGTAGAGTGGTTGGCACAGAATCTGGCACTCAGTAGGTTGTAAAAATATGGCAGGTGCCTTCCTGCTTTCTTTTTCTTGTCTCCCACTATAAGCAAACTCACCTTTTGGCCAGTGCAGGAACTTCATAGGCTTTAGGAATGATTTTTGTGAGTCTCTTTTACCCCATCATAACTCATAGCAAAAGGATCTGACATTATATATGATTTCTAACAAAAATGTAATAAAACATGACCTTTGAAATGAATTATTGATATTGATGGCAGAGTTTTTGTCCTGAACTTTGGAGCCCATGCAGTTTTTTTGGGTCTCAGACATTTCCATGGGCCTCACAAATCTATGAGGCCCTGGGCTCTGTCTTGTCCCCAGTGGACAAGGGGGCCTGGTGACCCTGTTGGTGAAGGAGGAGGAGGGCCAGGAGACTGCTTTGCCTGCCCAGGGAGCAGAGCTGAGCTCTCCAAATTAAAACCAGCAGGTGCACTGTGCTCACCAGCCCTCAGCCAAGGAGGGCCATCTAGGAGGACACAGGATCTGCCCTTACACTGTTGTGCTTCAAATGTTCTGGCCTGGATCTGCACCCTACTTGCAGGCGACAGCAGCTGGGGAGGCGCTAAGGAAGGACACAGCCACTCCCACCTCATCCCATCTGCCTCCATGGGTGAGAGGGGGACCCCAGGACCACATTCAGAGTAACTGCAGCTTTGCCATGTGCTCACACATTGCATTTTAACCCTCACACCTCACAGAGACTGTATGAGGCAGGGGTGCTGCTGTCCCCATTTTACAGATGAAACGGACACAAAGGTGCTCCTGTTCACACAGCTAGCGGGTGGTGGAATTGGAATTCCCTCAGCTACTCACTGTACTTGATACCAAATTGATTCATATTCTCAATAATTAATCATAATGGCAGCTAAGATGGGTAAGTTTCTTCTTAAAACTCAAAGAATACATGAATACTTTCTTACTGTAGAAGACTCAAGAAGTATGAATGATTTTAACGAGATCCCCAGGTGAGTCCTCTGCACAGTAAAGTTTGAGAAGCTCTGGTCTAAAGGTCAAGCGCTCGGGTGCCACAGCCTCCCAGCCCCCTCCTGGTCCCAGGGGTAATTGCCAGGGACAGGAATGTATGGAGAGTCTTCTCTACAAGTCCTCTCTCCTTCAGTATCTTAGTAGATGTTTACAGAGAATCAGGTCAGATGTCAAACACCCTCATGCTCAGCAAGGCCAGCTGGCTTGCCCAGTCCTCAGCCAATACCTGGAAGAGCCTGGAATAGAAACCAAATAACCTGCCTCCCTGCCCAGGGTCCTTCTGCCCACCCCTTCTGTGTAATGTGATAATTAGATCTTAATTCCTCAGAGTCTGTGACTAATTCCATAGCCACCTGTGACTCCCATTCTTTTATGGGCAACATATGTATATTGTAACATACACATGTAAAAAGCTCCACCTTCAGGCGGCTGAGTCAACACTGTGTCTCAGCTTTGAAGTCAGAGAGATCTGGTTTGAGCCTCAGTTTCCTCATCTGTGAAATGGGCATAAGAATCCCACCTTGCAGAATGGCTGCAAGGATGAGATGAGATAAGCATACAAAGGGCACCAGGCTAACATTCTCGGAGTGCTTTCCAGTCTGATCCCCCCCTTGCAGCTCATTCCTTGAATATATTTGGGCATCTTCCACATGCCAGCACTGCTCTGTGTGCTGCGGACACAGAGGAAGGATGAGCCTCGTGTTCTCATGGAACTGACACTGTAGACAGGGAAGATGGATGATGAGCAAGCCCACAAGATGATTTCATATGTGAGAGTGCTGAAGAAAAAAGAGCTGGGGGAGGTGATAGCTAGTGACCACATGGGACGGGGAAGTGAACTGGAGACAAGGTAGTCAGGGAAGGCTTCTCTGAGGAGGTGATCTTTGGGCTGAAGCCTGAATGAGGAGGAGAAAGCAACTGTGATGACCTGAGGAAGACTGGGGAAGGAGCCAGGAAACAGGCCCTGAGAGGAGAATGGGTGGGATGGACTGGGCCAAGGGCAGATGGGTTCTCTGTGACCTGCCTCCATTACAAGGAGACTGGGGCCCAAGGAAGTGGAGCCGCCTGCCTGGACCTCTGGCTCTCTATGCCATTCTTTCCACCACCCAGGCTTTTCCGGGAGTCAGGCCTTTGGGGACACATGCACACACATGCGCACACAGAGGTAACTAGGAAGTGCAAGGGAGGCTGGAAGGAGTTTCTGTTCTACACACCGACTAGCCCAGAGCCTGTAGGAAGAGATGAGAACCAACAGCTGATGCTTGAGTCCTGTCCACAGACAAGGAGTTTCTGAAGCGGGGAAATGCCCACTGAGTAAACATCAAAGGGGAAGAGCTACTGGGTGTTTCTGGTGAGCTGAGAAAGGGCCTGCTTGAGGCAGGGGAGGGGTCTCCGCTCCTGCCTTCAGAGGAAGCAAGTGGTCCACAAGCCAGAAAGAAGGGCAAAGGGCCTTATTGCATCTAACCTGGCTGGCCCGGTCTTGGAAGTGGGCATGACCCCTCCACAGCCTCAGTGCAGGGCCTTGGGGAAGCCCAGCAACTCTGCCCATTTCCTGGTTGACACAGGACAGTTAATTTCTTTTCTGGGCTTAGGATTTTGCCCCTGTAGGAGGAATTTCACATTTATTAGGGATCACAATTTGTGTGAAAAGTTTAAATTCTTACCATTATAAACAAAGAATCTCGGTTCGGGTAAAAAACAAACAAACAAAACTTAGGCATAGGCATAGACTGTCTCCAAAAAGACATATCTAAAATAAAACATAGGCATAGACTGTCTCCAAAAAGACATATCTAAAATAAAAAGGCACTGGTTTTACCCCCTTAGCAATCACGTCTTCCTGGGAGATGATCAGGAGCCACAGGACCCCCACCACTCACCATGTGATCTCAGGCATGTTGACCCCTGAACCTTAGTTTCCTTATCTGCAAAATGGGGATAATGAGCAATACCTCCAGGGCTGTGGTGAGGATGACTCCAGTGACCACGGGAGGGATGGTTTCCTTAATCAGTCATTTGTACCTTCATGTGAACGTGTTGTGGAAAATCGGGAGAGGTGGGCAAAAGCTCAGAAGCATCTGGGAGGAAAAGCCAACAGGTGAGGATCAGAGGCCAGACTTTACCTTCCAGCGGGCACTAGAGCCGCACTGAATGTTCTGTGGTTACCCAACTCTGAAGGCAGCAGAATCCGGGACTCCCAGGCTCAGGCCCAGTGTCCTGGGGGTTGGTGGGGGCTGGCTGTCGGCTCTGAGTGACACAGGAAATGGAGGAGGAAGTGACAGCAATGATAAGGGTGAGGAAATCCCAGGCCTCACCCTGGTCTTAGCCAGAAACAGGGTTTAGGGCAGAAGACAAACCTACTCCATTTGCCTTCAGTAAGCATCACTGAAGCTACTTATACGAGGCCCTGTGCTGGATACAGATGACAAATCCACTCCGTGTGGCCTGTTTCTTTGGGTTCCCTTCTCTGTACTGTACCAAGAGAATTGTGGTATGTCAGCCTCCCTTGATTTGGAGCTGGGACCGGGTTTCCAGCAAACAGGACCACGTCCAGCTTCTCGAGCTGCCACCCTGCATCCAGAATCATTAGGCCTGTAGGAAAAGGTCTTTTCAAAGACCCCGGATCAGGAGGAGAGTCAGGCCTGTTTCACCTCCGCCCAGTGCTTCACTGGGCAAAGCCAGACTTGTGCCCTTTTTCAATGAGCCCTGGCTTCAGAGCAAACTTCCCTTCACCTCTGCAACCTCCCTCCGGGGGCCCACGGTTCTCCAGGCTTCCTCCCCAGTCCAGGCTCAGGGAGGGACCAGCACTGAGGAGGCTCTCCTCGCCCTTGCAGGGAAGTTCTGGCACATCTCTGACCTGCACCTTGACCCGGACTACAAGGTATCTGAAGACCCCTTCCAGGTGTGCCCGTCAGCCGGCTCCCGGCCCGTGCCCGGCGCGGGCCCCTGGGGCGACTACCTCTGCGACTCGCCGTGGGTGCTGGTCAACTCCTCCGTCTGGACCATGAGGGAGATCGAGCCGGAGCCAGACTTCATTCTCTGGACTGGGTGAGAGCGGTCCCGGCAGCTACCCTTGACCGGGCCACGTGACGTGCCACCTGCCGGCTACGCGTGCTACCTGCCCCGCCCTCTCCCCTAGTCCTCACACCAGCCCTGTTCTAGAAAGGATGAACCCGGGGCGCGAAGGAGTTACACCGCTTGCCCAGGGGACCTGCGCCTGGCTGATCCCAAAGTCTGCGCCCTTGAACCTGCGTGTTTCCTGGCTTCGACCGAGCGTAGCTCCTACTGTGGCTGGGGGCGCGGTCTGGTCTGAGCATGTGGATTTTAAGTTGGGGGATGAACGCTGGAGCCACCCCCACTGGGGTTTAGGGACTCTAAGCCTTAGAGATCCAGATGCACGGAGGGAGGGAGGTGAGGGCTGAAAGGGGTCCGGCACTGGGACTGCTGGTCAGCTGCCCTGGCCCTGCAGGGTTCTCACTGCTCTGCATGGGGGTAGCTTGAGGGGTGATTCTGGCTGAGCCACAGCCGCTCCGCTTCTGCTTCCCGGCCAAGGACGCTGCTGTAAGTCTCCAGCTGTCCCCAGCACTTGCTGTCCGGGTCACTCGAGGCCCGCCCATCACCCTCCCCCTCGGTGGGTCAGCCTGCCTGGTGCTCAGCCCAGGTAGACACTGAGGAGCTGAGATGATGGGGGCCCGGACAGTCTTCAGGGAGCTCGAGGTCTGCGTGTTTGCAACGCGGACAAGCCCACCCACTGGCCCTTATATCCCAGTGAGGAGAGGGTCACTGGGGGGATGTGGGTGTTTCACAGGGCCCCTCACGCCACCTGGGAGGACTTCCTGCGGGAAGAGGTGAGGAAGGCTGGCGGGAGCTCTGACTCCCTGCTCTTTCACCCCAGTGGACACTTCTCTAAGGCAGGATCAGACCCTCAATGCCCCCAGCTGCCCCTCAGTGCGGCATGGGAGTGACTAGGAATGACCCTCTATGGGCCCGTGGTCGTTAGGGGGAGAGGTGAGGCCGGACGCTCAGGAAGCGGGACAGTGTCTCCGGAGGGGCCTGCGCAACCCCAGCGTCAAGGGCCATGACCCTGGAGTCCTTCTCCCGAGAGGACTGTTGCTTGGGGAACCTCTGAATTCTCCGAGGAGGGGCCCTGGGAGAAACGTGTAACATTTTAAAAGATGTGATTCCTCTGGGAAAGGTGACCGATTTGGGAAATTCATGATCCTTTAACAGAGGGATGATTTTCTCTGGAAATCTCTGGGACCTTGCAGAGGTGTATGGCATTGCATGAGATGACCTTAGGGCCCTTTATAATTCTTCAGTTTCTAAGAAGTTTGACTTCTCTGGGAGAGTTGGGATCCCTTGGGGCATAACTTGTAGAAACGGGGTGTGTTTTCCATCAGAAGAATTAGATCCTCCAAACTAGAAAAAAAAAAAGGAATTTGGACTCCTGGCCTGTCCCCAGGCAGGACAGGGCTAAAAGGTTATCAGAGGGCATCAGATACAGTAGGATGGAGTGGGTGTAAGCACAGATCTGGAGCCAGGCTGATGTGGTTCAAAGCCTGGTTCCACCACTTTCTAGTCCCACACACAGAAGCAGCATTCTCCACCTTCCTGTGCCATAGTGTATCTGTCACACAGGACTAGCAATAGAACCTGTGTTGTATGGCTATTATGAAGGACAGATTCGTGGATATGGGTACAACATGCAGAAAGTACCTGGAGCATGGTAAGTCGGTGTGAGCTGCTAGTAGCATTATCAGTACTATTCAATGAATTAATTTCCTTGGGGTGTTCCTGGGCAGCAGCTGCCTTAGCCTATGGAGACAGGCAGAGTCCTCAGGCTTTAGATTGTTGGGGTTCCTACAGTCCCCAAGCCCTGCCTTCCCTCAATCTCCTTCCCTGCTTCCCCACCTTGCTGCACATTTCTAAGGTGGATCCAGGAATTTAGGTCAGCTGAATGGGGAGCTAAATGGTCCTGGGACTAAAAGGTCCCAGATCTGTATAAAGTAGATCTGAACTCTGTCCTCTGGAGTCACCTCCAAAGTCCTTAGAACCTTTGAGGCTCAGAAGAGCAAGACTCAGAGATGGCGTCACGACCAGAGATCGCTGGGGACTTACAGATGGGACTGGACTCTATAACTCCCCTCTCTAAATAATAATATTAATTACAACTTAGCAGCTACTCTTCTATATTATATCTATCTATCTATCTATCTATCTATCTATCTATCTATCTATCTATCTATCTATCTATCTATCTATCTATCTATCTATCTATCTATCTACCTACCTACCTATATATATAGAGAGAGAGCTTTTCCCCCTTATGGAAGTCTCATCTATCTATCTATCTATCTATCTATCTATCTATCTATCTATCTATCTATCTATCTATCTACCTACCTACCTACCTACCTACCTACCTATATATATAGAGAGAGAGCTTTTCCCCCTTATGGAAGTCTCACAAACACTCTCTGAGTAGGTACCATTATTTTCCCTGTTTTCCAGATGAGCTGATGGAGGCTCAGAGACGTTAAACACCCAGCCAGGGACCCACAGCAGGTCAATGGCAGAGCTCTTTCTTATGTGACTCCCAGTGCCTGGTCTGAGGTCAGCAGATATCTGATGCCAGTTCCACAGCCCCTTTTCTCACAGCACAGCTGTCCCATTTACTCGTGCCCCTTCCCAGGTTGCCACCAAACTATCTTGGTGGTGTTTTGCAGTGATGACACACCTCATGTGGCCGACGAGAGGCTGGGAGAGGAGGCTGTGCTGGCAATTGTGGAACGCCTGACCAAGCTCATCAGAGAGGTCTTTCCAGGTGAGAAAGCCTCTGCCATCAGTGTCCCGTGGCATTCCCTGAATCCAGGCAGTGGGGACAACAGCAGTAAGATGTAGGGGAATGACCTTCATCCATTGACAATGGCTCGGGGCTTGGCTAGGTGCCATGCCAGGCACTTCCCAGAGATCATTTCTTACCTTGCAACAGCATGTCCAGGAATGTGTGCGCTCACTGGCCTGTGGGTACACACAGAATCCTATTAATGGAAATGCCTGACACTTCCCTGCCTTCTGTCCTTGTTACTCAGCCCCTTCTCAAGGCGTCTGTAGTTAGGTACAGGCTTCATCCCTGGGTAAGTCTCACATGGAGACTTGCACACAGCCCTCGTGTCCTGCAATGGCTCTGGAGTTACCATCCACAGGCATCAAACCATCCCGGCTGCTGGGGCCTCTGGGATGTGCTGATTTCAAGCCAAGGTGCTATCTCTGGGAAGGCAGGCAGGGGACTGTGTGCGTGGCAGCAGCCTCACAGGGCATGACCAGGGGAACGGGGTTTGCATGTTCCCGCAGGGGCCCTTGAAAATGTTTTTCAGCAGGCTGAGCCACACACAAGGTCCTGGGGGCTGAAGCAGGCTGCCAGCTGTGCCCCTGTGAGAGCAGCCCCGAGCCCCCACCTCCCACCTCCTCTGGGTTTTGGTATAGCTGCTTTCTCTTGAGGTCTTAAGTCATGGGTCCCCAGGACCCACGTATGGAATAATGATAATGAAAATGAATAACTGCAGCATCAATAACCACGTGTCTACGTATCTGAGCAAGCCCCGAGCCCCCACCTCCCACCTCCTCTGGGTTTTGGTATAGCTGCTTTCTCTTGAGGTCTTAAGTCATGGGTCCCCAGGACCCACGTATGGAATAATGATAATGAAAATGAATAACTGCAGCATCAATAACCACGTGTCTACGTATCTGAGCACTAAGCGTCAGGTACCCACCCCTCTGAGACTATTCTGTGCCTCTGCTCATTCACTGTCATGATAATCCAGAGAGAAGTGCTATTATTATCTCAACTTTACTGATGAGAAATGTGAGCCTTGGGGTCAAGAAAGTTGGTCAAGGTCATGTGGCAAGGTGGGGTGCAAATCCTGGTTTCTGCATGCTTTTATCCACCACTCACACTGCTATGCCAGAAGGCGGTCTGAGCAGCTGTCATCATCCCACATCTGTCCTCAAGGCAACGTCTTGTCCCTTCTGCCACCCCCTGCAATCAGTTTATGCAAAGACTTGCCTGGATGTATAGATAAGGAACCTACAGTTCAGACCTGGTCAGCTGGTACAGAGAGATCAAACTCAGATCCAGCTTTGAGCTCTTGTTCCTCTGCTCCACCTAGGGCTTCTATAATGAATAAGAGCATGGTTTATTAACTATGATTTTACAGATAAATATTAGAAGATTTTCTAGTTTATAACACACTTGCACATTTATTGAATTTCCTAATACCCAAGATGCCATTGACTAGAAGATGAGTTACTGTTTGATGTATTGCTAAGAAAAAAATGATGGTAACGAAAGTAGGACAGCACCTTCTCTTGGCCTCCATGAAAGTCACACTCAACGTGTAGAGATGTTAAAATGAGAATGAAGTTGGGAGAGATGAAATGAGGCATTATCTTATTTGAGATTTACACCAAAGCATGTTGGAGAGGAGGAAGGGTCTGAACCTTGAGATCTTGGGTTCCACATCATGTGGAACCTGCCACAGGCCACCTGTGTTCCCCGTTAGAGTTGCTGTGAACACCAGCCCCTCCTCTCTAGCAAGGCTGAGTGGTGAATGCAACATGTGCAGGGCAATCAGTTCCAGGTCCCAATTCAGGCGCTGCCACAGTCTAGCTGGGCAAGCCCCTGGAGACTCAGTTTTCTTCCAGTGAAAATGAGAATAATGCCCAGAGAGCTGTTGTGAGGACTAAATAAGGTGATCCATTTGCTCATTTAGGCACCAAATAGTTACTGAGTTTCAGCTGTGGATGAGGCATCATTCCAGGGGTAGGGAACTTGGCCATGGACAAGCTGCCAAGTGGTGCCCTCATGCAGCTTACGCTTGTAAGGAGCTTGGAACAGTGCCTGGCACACAGAAGCAGCGCAAAACAGGAGAGATTCTTTCCCTTCTTGTCTGTTCTTGGGATTCAGGGATGTGTGTTTTTTCTTAAAGGGGTTCTTAATGGCTGCCAGCATTTATGTTAGAGAGGTGAGTTTTTTCAGGGAGTTGCAGTGATGACTTCCAGCTTTGTGAACAGCTGCTGATGGGGATTCTACGCCTCCTCTTCAGTGGGGCTCTCAGCCTTGCCGGATGGAAGCTACGCAGGGCAAAGGATTTGTTAGAAATGTATTCCTAAGTGGGAACTGGAGGCTCCCGCCTCCCTCATTGGTTCAGGGTCCCTCCCTGGGGTAAGCCAAGTATTCATATAAGGGCAAGACCCTGCCTGGAGCTCAGAGGAGTTTTTGTTAATAGTCAAATATTTATTGAGCAACTATTACGTGCCAGACACAGATGTAAAAATAAAATCAAGAATGAGGCTGCTCACAGGAAGGAAATGAGTCTGAGGGGCTCCCCTCCTCCTCCTGGGTTCATTCGCAGCTCACTTCCACAGGGAGGCCACCCCAGCCCCTGACTGCCACAACCACGCCCTGCTATCCATGCCCATAACTAGGCTCTTCCCTTTTTAAAAAAATTTTTTTAAATTTTGGTATCACTGATCTACAATTACATGAGGAACATTATGTTTACTAGGCTTCCTCCTTCACCAACTCCCCCCCACAAACCCCATGACAGTCACTGTCCATGAGCATAGCAGGATACTGTAGAGTCACTACTTGTCTTTTCTGTGTTGCATATAGGCTCTTCCCTTTTTGTGTTGGCCTTCGCATGTTGCATTACTCAATGCCTGTTACCCTGCTACACTGCAAGGCCCCTGGGCTGGGGTTGGGTACCCGGCTCCCAGGTCTACAAGTTGGCACCAACAAGGTGCTCCATAAATATTTGAATCCCGAATGAACAAACTCCTGAGGCCTCCCAGGGTGAAGGAAACTCCTTCCCTTGCTCGGGAACAGCAAGTGGATCGGGAAATAGTCAGATGGGTCTGGAGTTGATGGCTGATGATGGATCTGAAGATTATTTAGATCTTCTAGCTTCCTCCTCCCCCTCATCTGGTGCTTCCTTTCTGGTGACGAAACTTTCTGCTGGGAATGGGGTTAGGGACTGCGTCTCCTTCTGAGGTCTGAAAAAAGTTCAGTCAGATTCTATCAAATGTGGTTTTCCACTTATCTCTGTATTTTCCTTATCTATATTTCCTCATCTATGCTATGGCTCTTCCCCATTATCTCTGATGACCAGTGGTGACTGAAAAATGACTAACTCCACCAAGCTCTATTGCATAAAATTGTTTATATTTCTCATTTTTGTCCCAGAAACTAAAGTCTATGCTGCTATGGGAAATCATGACTTTCACCCAAAAAACCAGTTTCCAGCAGGGAGCAACAATATCTACAATCAGGTAGCAGAACTGTGGAGACCCTGGCTCAATAACGAATCCATGGCTCTCTTCAAAGAAGGTACTAACACCATTGCTACTCTAAGCACTTACCATAAGCCAAAGCCTGACCTGATTTCATTTTTGCAAACACCCCATTAAACAGGTACCAATTTTATCCCCATTTTACAGATAGGAGACTGAGGCCTGAAGACACCAAGCCAAGGCCACCAAGTTTAGAAGCAGACTTGAGAGCAGAACCCAGGGCTGACTCGAGTGCCCATGCTCTTAACCCACAGCACTAGTGAGGATCATGAGGGCCTATTTCCTGAGCATTTAGTATGTGCTTAGCATATTATGAGACACCTTGCAAAAACCCTAGGAAGGGGCTGAACCTTCAGTTCAAGCAGGGTTTCTCAATCTTGACACTGTGGACATCTGGGGCCAGGCAGTTCTTTGTTGTGGGGGCTGTTCTATGCATTCTCGAATGTTCAGCAACAAACACCCTTGACCTCTACCCACTAGGTGCCAGAAACACTCCCAGTTGCCATAATCAAAAATGTCTCCAGACATTGCCAAATGTTCCCTGGGGGATAAAATCACTTGGCTGAGAACCACTGATCCAGGGACACAGCCAGCCCAAGGTGACTCTGATCTACTCTCTTCCCTTCCCTCAGTTCCCTGCTGTCAGGGCTCCTCATAGGCCATACCCAACCAGGAGCCCATGGCCCATTTAGTCCTGGGACAGACAGGTGAGTAGAGAAGGACTGACAGTGGATCTGGAGAAGCAAACACACCTCATTGTTATTCTCATTATGCAGAGGAGGAAACTGAGGCACAGAGAGGTTAGGTAACTTTCCCAAGGTACACAGCTATAAGTGAAAGGACTTGATACCTAGGAGCCTGGTCCAGAGCCTTTGGTCTTACCCATGACACCCCTCCTATGGGAAAGATGGGAAGGAAGGATGGAAGGGAATGAGAAGTGGCAGAGTGAAGTGAGGGGGACAGAGGTTTGTCTGGTCAGAGGCCAGATTCTCCCTGGCCATGATGTTCCAGGTGCCTTCTATTCTGAGAAGTTGCCAGGGCTGAGTGGGGCTGGGCGAATTGTGGTCCTCAACACCAATCTGTACTATAGCAACAATGAGCGGACGGCCAGCATGACTGACCCCAGCCAGCAGTTTCAGTGGCTGGAAGATGTGTTGACCAACGCATCCCGAGCTGGGGAAATGGTAAGGCTCCTGCCTCCACCTCCTTCCTTTCTGCGCCACTTCCTGAACAAGTCTTCACATCAGCATAACCTCACCCACTTACTCAAGATGCCCACATCACAGAGGGTCCTTCATCAGCCTGGAGCCTGGAGCCAGGAGGGGGCTTCTTCCATCCTTACAACAGCCTGTGAGGCGGGGACCCCGGGGCCCATTGCAGATGTGAGGCTCCTGAGGGGCACTGACAATTTCAAGTCACATGATAGGTGGTGGAGCTGAGACTAGAACCCTGGTCTCCACACGACAAGTCCAGTGCTCTTCCAGCTGCCATCACATACCAGAGCTGCAGCCCACACTGTGTACTAGACCCCAAGCACATGCTCTGCCCCTGAGGGGTGTCCATCTAGTCTGTGGGCTGGCAGCTCCCTGAGGATTGGCCTTGTTATCTCATTTGCCTGAGTCCCTGCACCGATTGGCACATCCCAGCAAAATCTCACGGTTGGGTGTTCTGAGCACTCACTATGCATCAGGTACACTGCTAAGTGCTGTATATGGATTATCTCACTGAACTCTCAAAACTCCACCAATGACGCTATTCCGGATGAGGAAACGGAAGCTCAGGGAGGCAATAAACAACTGGCATCCAAGATGCAGTTTGACTCCAAAGCACATGCTCTTAACTGCCCTCCCCGGAGCCCCCTCATTCTACCTCTTGCAAAAAAGCCCAGATATTATTAACTGAGTGACTCAAGCAATGTAAAATGTGAACACACATTACCACAGAGCATTTCTACACAAATGTGCAGGGAAGGTTTAGTTCTGGTGCCCAAGTTCTCCAAGAGGAGACTAGTCTCTAAAGGATCAGGAAGGTTTCACAAAGAACTTTGGGCTAGGTTTTGAACTATGGGTAGGACTTATAGATGTGAAAATGAGAGGGGCATCCAGGTGGCAGCTATAGCATGGGAAAGGCACAGAGACAGGAGACACAAGGTACATTCATTGCTGGGCCCCGAGACTGCCGGAACCTGCCTGGGAGAGGGAGGGGGGAGGACTTCAGGGAAGAGGCACATTTGAGCCTGCCTGCTTGCCTTTGGGGAGGTGGACAGGTTCTGAGAGGTGGAAGTGAGGGGTTGGGAGGGCATCTCTGAGTGCCCCCCCACCCATTCCTCACAGGTGTACATTATTGGCCACGTGCCCCCGGGGTTCTTTGAGAAGAAGCAGAACAAAGCATGGTTCCGGGAGGGTTTCAACGAGGAGTACCTGAAGGTGGTCCAGAGGCACTACCGGGTCATTGCAGGGCAGTTCTTCGGGCACCACCACACTGACAGCTTTCGGATGTTCTATGATGATGCAGGTACTCACTCTGGAGGGCAGCTGCCAGTCCACCTCCCCCTTCTCGCCAGCCTGTCTGTTTCACTGTCTCTCTCCTGAAAGGTGCCCCCATCAGTGTCATGTTCCTTACACCTGGAGTCACCCCATGGAAAACCACATTACCTGGAGTGGTCAACGGGGCCAACAATCCAGGCATCCGGGTGTTCGAATATGACCGATCCACACTGAGACTGCAGGTCAGGAGCCCTGGGTCTGCGGGTGCGGAAGGAGGAGGGTGGGGAGGAGCCGGAATGTATCACCCCCAACCCTGACTTTCCCAGCGAATCCATCCTTTGCTGACAGCTGAGCCTCAGGAAGGTCAAGTCACTTCCATCCTTTTAGAGTTCAGGTTCAGAACCCTGGCACTACCTCCAAATCCTGCCACCAAGCCAGGTCAGTTCTTCCCCGATTCTCCCTTAGTTCTGATCACAGGCTCCTACCGTGTCCCCCTGCCCTGTGCTAGCTCATCTGCTACACACCACAGACAGGATTACTCTTTCTAAAGCATTTCTTGTATTTCTCCTACTCAAAAACCTTCAATGGTTTCCCAGTGTCCCCCGAATAAGTTAGATCTCTTTGGCCTGGTGTTCAAAGCCTCCCATAATATGGCCTCAAGCTCACTGCCCTCCTCAACCCTCCACCAACTAGGCCCCAGGCTAAGCAGGCCCCTAACTCATTAAGCAATCCCTCATCTCCTGGGATGTGCTTGCATTTGTTGGAATAACAAAGAAATATTTCTTAATTCATTCAACAAAATGTACTAAGTATATGCTATGCGCCATGCCCTGTGCTAAGCTCAGCAGACACATATGTAACAAAAAGTCACTGCCCTCCGGGAGGTGACATTCTCATAGGAGACACACAGTAAATAAGTAAGTATGGCATAGCAAAGAGTGGTAAGGAGAAAAGAAAACAGAGAAGGCAGGTGATGACAGTTACAGGTGTGTATGTGCTGTTAGGTTTGGCAAGGAAGTGTCATGGATAGGGTGGCATTTGGGTTCTGAGTAAACTGAGGAAGCAAGCCATGTGAGCATCTCAGGAAGGGCAAGGAAAGAGCAAGTCAAAGGCCCTGGGGTAGGAATGTGCTTGGTGGGTTAGGGGAAGAGCAAGGAGGTCAGAGTGGCCTCAGTGGAAGGCACAAGAGGGGAGTGGGAGGGACGAGGTCAGATCGTATAAGCCACGATTAGGACTCTGGATTTGGAGGGTTTGGGGCAGGATTAAATATTCTGACTTTTAATTTTACAAAGTCACCATGTTTGCTGAGCAGAAAACAGGCTGTATGGGCAGAAATGTGGATCAGTTAGGAGGTGATGACCATATAACCACTGAGATGTGATGGTACATAGGCCAGGGTGGTAGCAGTGGGCTGGCAAGAAGTTTCAGATCCTGGATGTATCTGAAGGCAGAGAAGACAGGATTTGCTGGTGGAGTGGAGAGATATGAGAGAAAGGGAGGAGTCAAGGAGGACTCCAGGCTTTGGCCTGAGTGCCTGGAAGGATGAAGTTGCTGTTTACTAAAACGGGGTCAGTGCGGGAGGAGCAGGTGTTGAGGGAAAGAGCAGAAGTCTATTTTGGGACATGTTAACTAAATATCTAAATGGGATGTGGGTGAAAATGCAGAGGAAGGAGGCTGTTGGGCATTCAAGTTGGAGTTCCAGGAAGAGGTAGGTATAGAGATTTAGTCTGACTGTTGAGAAAGGACATTTTAAAACCAAGGATTGGACAACATAACCAACCCTTGATCCAGAGTAAATGGAGATGGAGAAGAGGTCTGAGGATTTTTAAGTGTGGCCTGTTGTCTACATAGGCATCCAGAGGCCTTAGCAAGAGGAATCACAGGCTGTGACGTGCCCCACCCACCACCGCAGCCCTCCTCCATAACATGCCCTCCATCCTGCTCAGGAAGGGAGTCAGACAGAGCTGCGTTTGAATCCTGGCTCCTCCACTTACAAGCTCTTTGACCTCTCTGGGCCTCCAGTTGCTTCATCTGTAAAATGAGAGTAATAGTACCTCACTGGGTTTGGGAGATTAAATGGAAAAATGTAATAAGCCTAGTAGGAATTTGCCACTCATACTTGGCCGCTCCTCTTACCACCTTCTAGTGACCTGAAGCAGGTCCACAAATTTAAGTGGAAAGGGTTGAACTTAAATCCTTCCAGATTCTAGTCCTGAAAACGCACTTGAGTCCTAGAATGTATCCCCAGCCCCAAACCAATCACGATTCTATAACCTCTCTCTGACAGGCACCCCATCCCACTTCTTTTAAGTTGCTTTTATGCACTCATTCTGTAAATATGTATTGAGCATCTTCTGTGTACCCCCGGGAGCTTGCTGGGACAGAAAATGCTAATGGAGTAAATAAACAACCTGGGTCCCAATCCCACCTCTGCCACAGAACACCTATAGGACCCTGGGCAAATGAATTAATCTCTTTAGGACTCAATTTCCTCATCTGTGAAATAGGGGTAATGAGCACAGTCCCTTCACAGAGTCAATCAGAGGATGTCTTGCCAAGCATACCGGCTAAGCAGTAAATGCCTAACAACTAACAGCGGTCATTATTACTGGCTATGAAAAATCTGGGGGCAAATGCAAGGTGCAGGATTGGGGATGGAAGCATATAGCTGCTCACAGCTAGCCCACCTCGCACCTTCTCTCCAGGACATGGTGACCTACTTCATGAATCTGAGCCAGGCCAACGCGCAGGGGACGCCAATCTGGCAGCTTGAGTACCGGGTGACCGAGGCCTACGGGGTGCCCGACGCAGGCGCCCGCTCCATGCACGCGGCACTTGGCCGCATCGCCAGCGACCAGGACGTGCTGCAGCGCTACTACGTCTACAACTCGGTCAGCCAAGACTTGCAGGCCTGCGGCGAGGCTTGCCGCGCCAAGCACGTGTGCGCGCTGCGCGAGGTGGCCTTCGACGCGTACGCCGCCTGCCTGCGCGCCCCCGGCGTCGCGCCCGCGCCCCGGCTTGCGCTCCTGCTCACGGCGCTGCTGGGCCTGCGCGCGCTGCTCCAGCAGTGATCGCGGACGCTGCCCGCCAGCTGGGCTCGTCTTTCCCCTCGGGAAAGGGGCAGCAACATCTTCCCCGGACCCCCAGCATACCTGTTTTCCACGATTGGCCCCGGTCCGCAGAGAGCGACCTGGGATGGGACAACCGGAGCAGGAAATGAAGCACGGAGACCCCGCCACAAGCACATTTCATTCATGTTTCATGTTTTAACCAAAGAACAGTGCTCATCGTCTATTTTGTGTGTTCTTTTACTCGGCAAATAAAGTTTACTGCCCTTGCACAGTTATTGGACGTCCTCCTCTTCCCCCATTCGGATAATCGGAATGAAACGAGCTGCGGAAGCTGCGCCTTGTTGATCCTGCGCCCTCGGTCTCTGCTGGCACACGCCCGAATTAGAGGCACACTTGATTAGCGAAGTCCCGCCGTCGGTGAGGGATTGCAGCTGGAGCCGCAGCGCTGATCTCCGGGCCGTTTTCGCCGTCTCGGCTTTTGGTTCAAATGCAAAGCAATAGACCTCCCTAAACTGACGGCAGTGGGCCTGGGACTGCAGATCTCAGACCGCCCTCGGGGCTGGGCGGGGCATCCTGGGCGGGCTGCTGGGCCACCTGTGCGGCCTACTGGGGCGAGGAGGCGAGAGGTTGGAGCGCGACACCTCCCGGACGGCGAAGTCGCGGGCCTCGCTCCTCCCCGGACAGGGCGGGACGGGGAAGTCCCGCCCCGCAGGCTTGGGGTCCGGACGGCCGCTAGGGCTTGCCCGCCTCCTTCCTGCCTCTGGCCGACGCCCCAGGCCGGGAGGGCGGGTCCGAACCCCAGAGGAAAGGGCCGGGAGAGGCTGGCGGGTCATGCCCCGGTCACTTCACGCCGCGCTCCTTTGGGACCTGGTCCTGGGCGTACTGGGTACCTTTGCCTTCTTGATCGACCTGGGCGCCGACTTGTGGGCCGCGAGCCAGTATGTGCTCAACGGCCGCTACCTGTGGGCCGCGCTGGTGCTGGCTCTGCTGGGTGTCGCTTCGGTCGCGCTACAGCTCTTTAGCTGGGTCTGGCTGCGCGCAGACCCCGCCGGCCTGCATGCGCCGCAACCCTCACGCCGCAGCCTGGCGCTGCTGCATCTCCTGCAGCTGGGCTATCTGTACAGGTGAGCGCCCTGCCCTCGGGGAAGGGAGGGGGAACAGAGCGCCGCGGCGCTAACTGCAGCTGGGCTACTTGCACAGGTGGGAGCCTTGGCTCGGGGAGGGGGTGGGGAGGGGAGGCCTGGGACCAGGAGAGGGAACAGACCCCGTGGGCCCCTCTACCTGGAGGTGAGCTCCCCGCCCCTTAAGGAAAGAGAACTCTCGCTGACAGCCCTCAAAGCTCATCCTGCCCCACCCATCCTGGCCTAGGTGAAGAAACTGAGGCCCAGAGAAGAAAAGAAGGTGCATGATTTGGAGTCAGGCCGCTGAGACCTATCCTGGCTTTACCACCTGTGGCCTCATTCCTACCTTTCACCAAGCCTCAGTTTCCTTCTCTGTTAAAAGGCGGTAGTAACTTAAGAGGTTTGACAAGCCTGCCTGCTGGGTGGTGTGAAGGCCAGAGTGTGAAAGTGCCTGGGAAGCAGTGCCTGCTGGGTGGTGGGCATATTTGTAACAGCAAAGATGGCAGACCCAGGTGTGCCTTTGAGCTGTAGGTAGGGCTTTGGGTAAGTCACTTGACCCATGCGGGTCTCAGTTTACTCATTTTTCTAGTGAGCATGGTCCTAGTGCCTGCCTCCGGTAAGGATTGAATGAAATGAGATCTGCTACTTTGCCCTGGCGCAGAGTAAACATTCAACAAATATCAGCTAGCTTCATGGTTACCTGGTCACCCTGGGAGTCTCAGATGCTCTGGCCCCCAGACCAGAGCTCCTTCTCTCACCGGGAGTGCCTCTCACCCTTTCTTTCCACCTTGTATTTTCCCTGAACATGTTCTCCCCATCCCCAGACCAAGCAGTTGGGCAGAGATGGGGTCTGACTCATCCACCCAGCTAAGGCCAGGCACAGGCTGCATCCCAGAAAACTTGTGTGGGTTGTGCTCCTTTCCAACCCAGGCAGGGCCTTCTAGAGATGGAAACTAAAACCAAGCGGTCAGTGCTGTGACAATCAGGACACCACATGAACTATCACCTCAGGCAATTTCTTAGGCCTTTCAGATTTGAACAGCTTGGAATCCAAATTCTGTTTCCACCACTTGTTTGCCCTTTGGTCTTGTTTTCCTATCTGTAATAGGGGGCAGTTGTAAGGAGTAAATGGGGCAAGGTTTGTGATGGGTTTGGGACAGTGGCTGGCCAGCTGGGGCAGCAGTCATTGTATTTGCCCCCATTTTTACAGATGAAGAAACAAGTTGAGTGAGGTTAAGTCACTCGCCAAAGGCCCCATAGCCTGTAAACCACAGGATTGCAGCCTGTCTGCACCCCCTGCTGGGTGGGGGAAGGGACATGCCCCAGGACACTAACCTGGCCCCTGGGGCCTCATATGTGCTGCCAGGTGCATGCAGGGGCTGAAGCAGGGCCTGTTGGTGTGGCAGCAGGAGGCGCCCTCTGAGTTTGACCTGGCCTACGCCGACTTCCTCTCCCTGGACATCAGCATGCTGCGGCTCTTTGAGACCTTCCTGGAGACGACACCACAGCTCACGCTGGTGCTGGCCATCATGCTGCAGAGTGGCCAGGCTGAGTACTACCAGTGTGAGTGACGGGCCACGGGCCAGCCCAGGGTTGATGGCTTGGGAAACCTTCCCACGGATGTCAGAAATGTTTTTACTCTTTTCTAAAGCTGCTCAAAAACGGGAGAACATCCTTTAGTCAGGCAGGTTTGGGTTCTAGTCCAGTGTCACTCTCTAGTCATATGAGTTTGGACAAATGACTCAACCTTTCTGAGTATCAGTTTGTTCTCATCTGTAAAATGGACATAATAATAAATGATCCTGCCTCATAGGGCTGATGAAAGGATTAAGTGAGATGCTGCATGTAAAGCCTAGTGCTTGGTGCATTCTAAATCTTATTTGTGATTTTTACAGTTTTGAAGATAGATATCAGGTAAAGTTATAGGCTGCCTGAAACAATAGGCAACTTGCTAGTCAAGAAACGATTGAGCACCTTTATACACACAAGTTTTATTGAGTATCTTCATGGCTGTCCCAGTGCTAAGGATACCACAGTGAATGAGAGGGCACAGACCCTGCTCTGCTAGGATGATAGACTGGAAAGCAGGTAGTTACAGTAAAGTGTGTTGAGTGCTCTGAGAAAGGGCAGGCAGGTGGCCTCATAAACCATGGGAGAAGTTTGCAGTGAGCAGCTTTGGGTTTTCTCTTGTAAAAGGGAAGTGACTTGCCCAAGATCACTGACCCAGTTGTGGCCAAGTTAGGACTCCAGCTCAGAGCTTCCCCCTCCTCCTTCACCACCTTGCACACCTTGAGGCTCCCTAGCTGTAAATGCCACTCCCAAGGAACTAGTGCCCACTCTTCCATCACTTGCCGTGTGACCTGAGAGTCTTACCCTCTGGCCTCTGTTTTCATGGGGGTTGGATTTGGTCTCCAAGAGCCCTTTCAGATTGCAGATCCAAGTTTGTAATATTAATTGAATACAAAAACCCTAGTAAGTAGCAGCCTCATGATAGAGTGCTTGCTATTAGCCAGGGGTGTATGAAGTGCCTTACTGTCATCATTGCTTACATTCACAGCAGCCCTAAAGGTTTTTCTCCATTTTACATGAAAGCAAAGAGGTGCAGAAAGGTGAAGTGATTTGCCCTGGGACACAGCACCCACCAGGCACAAGTCTGTGTTTGTTTGAGGGCAGTGGGTGCCTAGGTCCAGGGATACATGGAGACAGTCTACACTGTACATGTACAGGGCAGGATCATTTATTATTACATCCCTTTTGCAGTGACATGAGGAGGGGAGGAAGCATTCTGGAGACATGCCAGGGCTGCTTCCATCCCTTCCTGGAAGTCCTGGTGCTTCTAGTCAAGGGTGAACGATTGGGAGGGGGAGCGGATGCCTGCTGTGAACTTGGGTCTTGGAAAATCAAGATCAAGTCCAAGGCTGAGTGTGTAGGCGGGGCGAATGGGGAACACTGCATTTGGACAGAAGGGACATCCCTCCTGGCCCCTGAGGGATGTTGGCCCACCATGGGATTTCCTGCTTTCCTTTCTGAGACTGAAAAGGGAACTGGGACTCTGAGTTTCAGACCAAAGAACAGCTCGGGCTCTTCCAGGAAAGGAAGGGTTACAGGGCCCAACAGATGCTCAGACTGCGGCCAAGGCCCAGGGGTGCCAGATGCTAGGTGACGCTAGGTGACAGGGGTGCAGATGAGGGTGTAAAGTCACACACTGTCATCCTTGAAGAATATCACCAGAATATCACCTGAGAAGTAAAACTTTGTGGTGAGGGACAGACCTTGTTATTGAATCCCACTTTGTTTTTGGTTGTGTGAACTTATTTAATGTTCCCCAGCTATAGATTTTGCTCTCAACAAACTGAGGATCCTAATACCCACCTCAGGGTGGTTTTAAGGGTCCCCACAGTACCCATAACCTCGAGGGAGCGCCAGGCAGGTTGCCTGCACAGCTTACCTGTCCCTTCCTCTTGGCAGGGGTCGGCATCTGCACGTCCTTCGTGGGCATCTCCTGGGCACTGCTGGACTACCACCGGGCCTTGCGTGCATGCTGCTTCCCCTCCAAACCCCTCCTGGGCCTGGGCTCCTCTGTGATCTACTTCCTGTGGAATCTGCTGCTGCTGTGGCCCCGTGTCCTGGTCGTGGCCCTGTTCTCAGCCCTCCTCCCCCGCTATGTGGCCCTGCACTTCTTGGGTCTGTGGCTGGTGCTGCTGTTCTGGGTCTGGCTTCAGGGCACAGACTTCATGCCAGATTCCTGTTCTGAGTGGCTGTACCGAGTGACAGTGGCCACCATTCTTTATTTCTCCTGGTTCAATGTGGCTGAGGGCCACACCCGGGGCCGTGCCGCCATCCACCTGGTATTCCTCCTGAGTGACAGTGTTCTCATGGCGGCCACCTGGGCGACTCACAGTGACTGGCTGCCCGGTGGGATCCTGCTGCAGATGTTGCTGCCTGTGGCCGGCATCTGCTTCCTTTTGGGTCTGGCTCTGCGGCTTGTCTACTACTGCTGGCTGCACCCTAGCCGCCGCCGGGAGCCTGACCAGGTGGACAGAACATGGGGCCTCCGCTCCCTTGAGTGGCATCAGCTGCCTCAGAACCGACGCATGGCCCAGTTGGCTAAGAACTTTTTTCCCAAGGCTAGGGATGGGGCTGCTATGCCATGGAAGGGAGAGGGGAATGGGGTCCTTTGAGGCAGGGACAGGGGACAGAAGGACAGATGGAATCAATTGGTAGGATGCAGGAGAAAACAAGCTACTTACGCTATGGGCCTTGATTCACTCAGCAAGCACTTGATGCCTGATCTATGCCAGGCACTGAAGACCGGAGATGAGTAAGACAGGCCTGCCTTCAAGGATGAGAACAAGATGAGAAGGGCTGGACCCTGGAAGATCAAGGGCCCCAGTTACATATAAGACACTGGGAGGAAAGAAGAGACCCATTGCCCCACCCCAGCCAGTATAGCTGGTGCCCCAAAGCATTCTGATGCTGGTGTTTTCTCCTTCCTGACCACCTCAGAAAGAATTGGTGAGGAGCTTTCCCACTCTTTGGTTCCCCTACCCTGAGCTGGAAGGTTGCAGGACCTCTAGGATGTGTTCCCTGGAATTCTTCCTCCCCTGCACAACCCCAGTCATTCAAGATGCCCAACATACTTACTGAAAACATTTTATGTGCCAGGAACATCATTCTATCCTTGGAATCTGGAACAAGAGCAGTCACCACCCTTATTTCATGAACCTTTCCCCTGTCCAGCTACTCCTGAGTAGGCAATCAGGCAGGAAGCCATGGGTGCCCAACTGGCTGGCCCGTCAGCCCCACTAAAGCCATAGTACAGATGGCCCAGTCTCTGCCCCTGCTCTCAAGGGGCTGCCCTTCAAGAGCCATGTGAACCTGTGGTCTGGGCCATGGCTCAACCTGTTAAGGATTTTTTTATACTTTAGGCAGCGTACTTTCTACCTCAAGAGTCTATGTGAGAGGAAGAGGTGTGTGCATATGTCTCTGCAAGTGGGAGACATGTATGCACTGTTTTGTTGAACAGTATTACTAAGTTATTAAAACCTTATGAGACCCTCCAACCTAGTTGTGTTTATTAAACTGAATCTACAGAGTTCAAAGCCACCTGGAAAGAAGGGGTCAGGGACACGAAGTCTACCCCTCAAAATCAGTTAATGGGCGGGCGCTAGCAGGACTTCCCAACCATGGTTTCCAAGTTTCAGGAGCTGGTGAACCAAGCCAGATTTGGCGCCTCTCTCTACGGTGTGTTAAACAGCTCTGCAGCTGGGCCTGGAGCAGCAGGCAGACACCTGTAGTAGCAGGAAGTGAACAGAGCTCAGGTGGAAGGTCTTTTTGCTGGTTGTTCAGGGAGGGTGTGAGGCAGCTTAGGGGGTGTGGATGTGGGCAATGGGGCTGCGGAGGTAGAACCTTTTGCTGCTTTGGGTCTGTGGTTTGGAGGAACACGGAACAGGAAAAAGACTGGAGACAGAAGAAAAGGTTGCAGTCATTGATGCAATGGGCTCCAGCATAGTGTCAGTTCTGTTACTCATTTTAGTGGAGACACAATAAACAGGATAAGTAAAATAGTCTATCAGATGGTGTTAAGTGCTAAAAGCAAAAGTAGGGAAAGGGACAGGGAATGTTGCTGTGGGTGGGAATTACGACCACTGAAGGCCTCCCAGAGAAGCAGCTAAGCCCTAAGGGAGGCGAGGGAGAGAACCATGCAGATGCACTTTCAGAGACCGAGTCAGCAGTGACTGGACAAAGGGTTCCTAGCAGCTGGCCCAGAACCAAGGTTGGCCCAGAGGGTGGGGGGGAGCAGGGGAGATGATGCCAGCGCTTTTTCACATACACAGAATGGCAGAGACAGAAAGGATCTTCAGGATCGTTCAGTCCAACGATTTGAATCTCAAGGACCAGTAAAATGGCCAACACGGTTGCCAAATTTAACAAAAAGGACAGTGAAAACTGCCATCTATTTATCATCTCATAAAGGATACAACAGCCTCGGAAGGCTTATTTTAATTGAGTGTATTTAAGCACACATGTAAAAGTAAAATCAGTATTTTTCTCAACTCAGGAAGAGCAAGGGTTGAGGTCCCAGAGGGTTAGTTTAGTGCCCAACCTTGCCTTAAGAGTTCCTAAGGGTTTCAGCAAAACATGTATTTGCTACATTTATTTTTCCACACATCCGCCTCTCGTATGTGGAGACCAGCTCAGATGAGGTGCCATATATGCCCAAACAAGACATGGTGTTTTAGGCAACTCCCCACTTTCCCCTGAGAAAATCCAAAAAGATGTATTTTTATTTTTTGGCTAAGCTTTCAACTATACTGTCTAGGTGAAACTGTCCAATGATGGTAGTAATTAAGCCCAAACTATATAATGAACTACCTAAGAATCTGTTGAACTTAGCAGTCACTTCATTTGTACATAAAACTTAAGAGAACCACGAATTTTAAAAAGATGACAGTGACATTATTTGCAATTATAAATTTCCTTTGAAGATCCCCATTAAGAATTTAAGTGTCAAGAAACTTGTTTTTGAATAAAAAAAATGAATTACTCATTTTTACTGCCAGCAAAATGTTTTTGAGAAATGTGCTGACATTATCTTTATTGTAGGGAGAGATGGGGATGTTTACTCTTGGGACTTGAAAAGCAAGCAATACTCTCATATCTGTATTTGGAACCAAGTAAGGATAGAGCAACTAATAAGCTTGCTTCAGCCATAGTGTAGTTCCAAATGCACACCTTCTGGTGAGAAGACTTAATGGCTAGAATACAAGGCAGCTCCCTCTTTTCTGGGGGAATTCATTTGAGGAAAAATATATAATCTGACATGTATAATAGTTGTGAGAACCGAATTCTTGTCTCCTTTATTGGAATAAAAGGCAAAAGGATTTCTGACTGTTTTCTAGACCAGGGAGACAGTCAAATTCCAACCTGAAGAAATGAAATGAGAAAAAGCAGATGTGACATGAAATCAAGCCAAATCAAACGAGGTTTGATAGCAGTTTGTTGGTTTTATTGCTTTTGCATCTTAATCTCAGCACAGCAAGGCATTGATTTCTCTCTCTAATAAATTTCAGCACATTTGACAGCAAATGAAACCTATCATTCAAGCCCTAAACTTTAAAAAGCGATATATTTTAGAAACAATTAAGAAATAAACTTTCCTTTGCAAGTTATTTTAAAATTATTTATTTCCCAACATACATGTATTTATACCAAATGGTTAGTTTTTTGTTTTACTTTTTGGTGAAATTAATGACTCAGTTATTGAACTATTGTCATCTTTCTAATGAGCTCTGTGTATTTCTTATGAAGCCCTACTTAGTAGGAGTCTACTCAGCTGGGCAACTGGGCTGATCCTATTCAGAAAAGACACAGGAGCAAACTGTATAGAAAATAAAAACTTTATTTTTTCAAGTTTATAAGATAGTTCCCATTACATATAACATTATGGTCAAGGACTCCACAGCCATGAATGCCCGCAGTCACATAAATATATCCAATCCGATCAGTGCCTTTCTCCTGCTAAATGAGGCATCTGAAGTCCAGAGGGTCACAAGTTTTGAGTAGAAGTTGTCCTTAATGAGATGGCTCCCATCAGTGCATTAGGAACTACCAAGGAGCCTTGCTTGAAGAGCTGTCTGTCTCGGAGGAGAGGAAGGGATAGAGGGACTGCTGATGGGAGAAGGGACAGAACTAGATTTTCTCTCATGTTTTAAGGTATTTTAGAATCTCAGAATTCAGATCTGGCTTCTATAGTGGAAATACCTGGGGAGTTCCAACCTCTGAATTTGAAAAAGGAAACCACTTTAGTGGTAAGAAATAGAAGTCTGCTTAAGAGGGGCCCTAGCTGCCCCCACTTACCAGAGTGAAGGGAGGAAGGCCCCAAGCTCACTGTCCCTTGGCTTAGACCACTGCTCTCCCAGGAAGAGGGAGAATGTGGCTCTGCCCTGATACTCCCCTTCCCTGGGGTTCAGTAGCACTGACAACCACTCAAGGTAGGGAACAGCTAGAAGCTCTATATGCTGCAGGTGGAGTATGACAGATTCTTGTTGGAGCTTTAACGCTGAGTTTGTAAAAACTGCAAACAAGCTGTGGCACAAGTCTCTTGGGACACTAGCTTTGCCCCCTGAACTTGGAAAGCAGAAGACAGGAATACCCCCAGGCAAATAAAAGCCCAAATAGGCATCTAAATCTGGAGCAGGCATCCATCTCCTGGACACCACCAGCTGCCCCAGGGGCACTTGGCAGGGTGATGCTAAGGCACAGTCAGTTTTACATTCGCAAGTCAAGCCTCCTCTTAAACCCAGGATACCCCCAACAACTCCAGACCCCCTGCTAGTGATCAGCCCTCACAATGAAATGTGCAGACCCACAGTGCCCAGCTGGGGGAAGGACTCAGCATGTGGCTAATTTCTTAGGGACTCTTTCTAATAAAGCGGTCATCTACCTTGAAAAAAGGACCCACAGTATCCTTTGGCCCTTGGCTTCCAGCTACCCACTTATGTTCCTTGCCAGAGCTTTGTACTGGGATGAGAAAAACACCAGGTAAAGGGAGAGCACTGTGTTCCCTGGACAATTCATTTTGGCCAGGAGAGCCAAGAAGCTCCCATTTTCTGTCTGCCCTCGATTGAGGGCAGTGTCAACCAGAAAAGAGCAGCGGCTGCTCTGCCCACGGGCTTCCTCACCTCTCTTAGCCAATTTCAAGCCCTTTTGCAAAGACCTAAGCAAGGCAGTCAGGAGAGAAAAGGCCATTGAAAAAGAAGTCCAAGTCATATTTTAGGAATAAAGAGCTTCTTCCAAAGGGCAAAGAGCGGAGTATTTGTGTGTGGACCTGCGTGCACGATGGGGGGGACTTGCCTACAGCCTCCCAAGCCTGAAGCACAGCACTAACAGGGCGGCCTAGATCAGAGCAGGAAGCCAAGAGCTACACTGCCAGGAGTGGGAAGAGAAGGCCCATCCTAGAACTTTCTCAGATCAATTATCAAGCAAGGCAGAGCAGCAGATAGGCCACAATGCTGAACACAGACCAGGGAACGCTGGTTTCAGGCCATACACCCTTGTCCCCTCCCCTCCCCCACCAATGGAAATAAGGCCAAAGAGGCAGCTAATAATGAGCACTGACTTCAGCTTCTCTCCAAAAGCCTCTTGCCTAAAATTGTGAGTCATGAAGGACTTTCTCAATCAGTTCCGAAGGAATGTGTATATGAGCCTTTCTCTGGGGCCACATGGGTGGCCTGGCACCAGGAGGAGTCTGGCCTCCTTGTGCTGCAACGTATCTAGAAATGGATATGCAGAATCTCTGGGAATAAGCAATAGAGCTGGGGTTGGTCAGGGGATGCCTCCTTCTGAGGACCCAGACTGCATCTGGGGGCTCCTACAGAATCCCCTCTCTGCGTGCAGCCTGGGAGAGGCTGAACTTACTCAGCTGCAGGGAATTGTATCCTGCCTGAGCAGAGCCCAGGTCCATCTTGGAGGGATGGAGCACCCACATACACAGCTAGGCTACAAGGCTCAGACTAGAGCCTGGCACCCACCAATCCTCCCAGAGGTCGGGTGGAGAGATGTTCCTGCATTTGGCCCAGGACTAAGTTTTCAGACATGGAGTGGGTGGCCCAACACCCTCATTTAAATCAGGAAAGTCTTTCTGGCTTTCTTGTTTCCCATTTCAGAATGGGATTTGAGAAGTGGGGAGGGTGTTCCATAGGAAAATTGGATTTTGATCACAGCAACCCCTCTTCAGTTTCAGGCAGTCATCTGGGTAAAGATATGCCCAGAATACCCCTCACAGGGCTTAAGGGCTTCAAAGGAAGTCAAATACATTGTAGTTCATAAAATATAGTTATGAGCCTGTTCTTAGACTTAGTTTCTTGTGTCCGAAGCCCAGGGATTGGCCAGAGCAGCACGGAAGTACAGAGGGCAAGAGCCTGCCTAGCATGATAACTAAGGAGAAAGAGAAGGCTGTGGGGCTGAGCATCTGCTGGGGAAGGGTGCTTCTCTGCAGGAGGAAAAGGAAGAATCTTATTGTTTCAAGAGCCAAAGTGGAAATTCATGAGAAGCTTTAGTCCCTCCTCTCCAGTTTGGTGGTGAGCGCCCTGGAACATAGTCTTGAATAAAAGAGTCAAGCTGAAGGCTTAGAATTTACTGTCTAAGAGGAGGAGTTTCTAGGGTTGTGCCATTTGGTTCAAGGGCAGGAGGGATTGGAAAGGGGACTACGGCCTCTAGGATGGGAAATGCCAAAGTCTAAATTTAATCAGTGTCAAGTGCCCCTCAGTTCAGCAAACTAGGAGATGGAAGAATGGGAAGGAAACCATCCTAGAGAGCAGATCGTTGGGGGAGCTGAAGAGGTGCTACTATCAGAGAGAGGTATTTTAGATATTTCAATTACTATTTTTCAAGGAAACTTTACACACCCCTTTCTTGCTAGAAAAAGAAAGGAGGGAAAAGCTGCTTCGGAGACCAGACTGTTAAATATAAAAATGCTATACATTCACTGGGAATATGTTCTACAGCTAAGGAGATTATCAAGACCTTAAGAGATGTTAGCACACACGTCTGCCGTGTTTACCCTCTCACCACAAGTTGACAGCAGGTCTCCATCTGGTCACAATCTAAGAGTGCAACTCTGCCCCAAGAATTTCCTTTTCTTTTTCTTCATTTTTCAGACAAAATAAAACAAAAACAAAAAACCAGAATTAAAAGCACTGTAGCTGCGGTGAGTCTACCGGTCTCTCAATCCAGCTGCCTCCTGCTCCGTATGAGGATGAACACGGGCTGCGGCTCCCTCAGCGCTGCGCGGCTTCGTCCCTTGCAGCGGCGGGTTCTGATTGTGTTCTCGCCAGCATTCAATGCAGAGACAGAGTTCCTGATGGTTCCGGTCCCCAGCTCCCTTCAGGAGTGCAAAGGAGCTCATGGGGAAGGCTCTTCATTCCAGTTCTTAGAGAAAATCAAGCTCCAAAGCCTGGTGGAGGGACACTAGGTCTCCATGGTTTGTGATTCTCCAGAAAGGCATGTTGTGCTAGAAGGGAGGGGGGAGAGCTGATTACCCCACCTTTTGGTGAAGCTCATATTTACCTGCACCCTTTCCTCCAAAGACCTCTCCCCAAAGTACCTGCTGACCCTTTCTGCTCCCGCCCACTTCAGAGGGCTGTCCTAGGGATCAAATAAGTTGCATATATAAGGGCTCTGTACACTATAGGACACATTACAAATGTGAGACTTTTATTAGGTTTCAGTGGTAACTCTGTGCTTTTAGGAGATATATATATACTTGCTTTAGCTACTATAGAAGGTCTTCAGGATAAAAGAAAATGACCTACATAAGAAATTAGTATTAATATAATATTATACTTTATTACAGATGGTCAGCTGCCTGTAAATTTCAGAGTTACAAGGCCCAAATCTTGTCCATGACCAAGATGTGGAATGCACAGATTTGGGAAATAATAATCCTATTTACTATGTCAGAATCATGTCCAGAATACTGTGTGCCATTCTGGAAGTCACATTTTAAGTAAGGGCTCTGAAATCAAATGCAAGTATAGACTGATGGTTACCATCGGGAGGGGTTTGGATGGATGGGTGGGTGGGGCAGGGGAGAGGGAGGTGGATAAAGGGGCACAAAAATTCCCAATCACAAGCCAGTCATGGGGATGGTCGTACAGCATGGAGAATACGGCCAATGGTCCTGTAACAACTTCCTGTGTTGACACATAGTAACTGAACAGGTCTTTTGGTGTGTGGCTCAGTGTTTTTTCAAGCCTATAGCTCACACATAATATTTAAAAGGCTTTTAGTAAAGAGAAGAGGAAATAGACTTGTTATGTTGTGTTCAGAAATGCCAGACTAGGATGAAGATGTGAAAGTCAGAGATACAAAGTTCAGTTCAATGGAAGGAGGAACATCCTAATGCCTTGGATGACCCCACAGAAGAACCCGGGAAGCAGTCTCCTTATCTTGGGTATATTCAAGCAAGAATTAGAAAGTCTTCTGTCAAAGAGGCTGCAGAAAAGACTCTTCACAGGGTGGAGGTTAAACTGGATAGAGCTCTAAGGCATTTTCCAACAGGTATATTTTATGGTAGGTGATTACTAGCATCAGTTAAGAGACACCAACTCCGCTAATGACTTGAGTTCTTCTTTATCTCTCCCACCCCAGCTTCTTCTTCGACCATGAAGCACTGATGCCTACATCCACTACTAGTGTCTTCCCCAGAGGGCAACACTAGAATCAAGCATCAGAGATAATGTGAAAAAAGTAAAGTCCTTGAATGGCTATACAAAGTAGCAAATGAAAACACAATGAGGTAATAATGCCAAGCGGTTACCAATCTCATAGTTCATTAACAGTTGCTGAAAGTATGTTAACAGGAGGAAGAAAATCACAACAGCTGGCCTAGTTGGCAACCCACTGCTTCCAAGTCTAAGAAACTGTTAGAAAACTGGGGTACAGAAAAAAAGAATTTCTGCAGATCCATTTAGCAGACAAGCAAACTCAAAGAGGGTAAGTAAATTGTCCAAAGTCACACAGCTAATAAATGGATAAGCTCTGAACCAATCTGACTTCAGATTCCATAGCCAAGACTCTTTTATCTACTGTTTCCTGAATTAGGAAGGGATGACCTGAAGTTGGGACCTGCATACTGAAGAACTTGACATCAGAACATTTCCAAGGCTCAGAAGCAGGAATGACCTTCTCTAAATGAATCCCAATCGACTGTTCTGGTTTTCAGAGAATCTGAAGCCTGGGAAAGTTGGAATGATTTGCTTTTCTGAAGTCAAGTCCATGCTCTTGAGAAGGCACTGCCTTCTGAGATAGAAGATGGGGCCCGAATCAGGCTTAATGATGGGGGTCCCTGAAGCAGGGCTGGAAGATTTTAAGATTTATGAGTGGCAGGAAGGAGAGGGAAATGGTGGATCTAATAACAGGAAAACTCCATTCGGGGGGAAAAATGACCCTCTTTTTCTTTGAAGAAAAATGGGAGAGGAAGAGAAGGAAAACACTATACATGTACAACAGACTGGTAAGATTTTTGAGTTTTACCAATTTTCTAACTGTTCAATGCATTCCCACATAGACCATTTTCTTTACCATGATTACCTGTTTGGCTGCAATTTCTTCATCTCGTCCATCTCCAATCACTACATATGTGACTTTCTTCCCAAACCTTGACACAATTCTCTCAAAACAGCTCTCCTTACCTGACGAGAAAAAGAAATTTCCTATTAGAATATTCCTATCTTTTTTTCACACCAAAGAAAAGGTCTACTGCTAGGTTTACCTGCCTGTGCTTAGACAAAATAAGTGACAGCCCATGTCGTTTGCTTGGTGGAGTGGCAGCTAGAGATCCAGCAGGCCCTCTGCCCAAACAATGAAATTGTGCCATTAAAACAACAGACTTTCTAGGCATGGTGCTTTCTAGGTTATTTTAATAACCTTCACACTGAGGGTGAAGTCCCTGAGATCTTAGTGTGGGCGAATTTCTATAAAAGGGAGGCTAAGAGGCCTTGCAGTGTGAAAGTTATGCATACCACCTCCCTCTTCCACATCTCCTGTACTTTATAGTTGGCAAAGTAGTTTTCAAGTTTATCCCTCCATTTAATTCTCAAAACAATCCAGTGATATGGATACCATTCTCTATTTTACAAATGAAAATGGGACCCGAAGGATTAGCAACTTGTCCCATATCACAACCAAGTTTGTAGCTAGACTTCGGGCTTCTTGCTCCAAGTCTAGACTCTGGCTATTGTGCCATGATGCAGGGATGATTTCTGAGGCGAGACTGTTTTAGTATAGGAAAAGAGATGTGGAAGACTAAGGCCCTAATTTCTTGTTGATAATGAGTAACAGGCAAACAGCCATTTCCCCTCCAGTTAAAGAAACAGTCCTAGGTATGGACCTTCGTCTTACAGCAGGGGAGGAGCCCAAGAGAACCATCAAGCATGTCAGCAACGTTCATCACGCCCTGAACCTCCTCACTGTCACACATAACTGCAACTGAGGTAGTGTATCACTGAAACTGACTTTTGGGAAATGAACGATTTAAATACACCGAGACAGTTGAGAGTATCAAAATTCAAATCCCATCTGGAACCAATACCAGAAACATGCACAGACGATAAGGTTGTGGGAAAGACACTTTATTTGCATAAATAAACATAAAAGAACTTATTTCCCTTGCTTTCTTCACTATCTCTTATACTTTATTTCCCTGCTTCTGCCACTTTCTTCAGGTAAACAAGGTCCTAACTCTGCTTCCTCCATCATCCTGCTCCATTAACCAAATATTTCCTTCTTGCCAGAACCAGTGACTTAGCACCAGGGTTCCTGTGTGAATAAGAAAAGGTGCCTCTTCCTCAAGGCACTTGACTGCCACCTGCTGGAAGATTGTTGGAATAACCTCGCTTTACTGTGCTTCACTTTAACTGCATTCACAGACACTGCATTTTTTGCAAATTGAAGGCTCATGGCAACCTGGTGTACAGCAAATCTATTGATGCCATTTTTCCAACTGCATTTGCTCATTTTGTGTCTCTGTGTCACATTCTGTGATCAGTGATTATGACTCACTGAAGCACAGATGATGGTTAGCATTTTTTTAGCAATAAAGTATATTTTAACTGAGGTATGTACAAGTTTTTAAAGATAATTCTGTTGCACTTACCAGACTATAGTACATATAAACTAACTTCTACATGAACTGGGAAACCAAAAAAGCTCATTTGACTCCTTTTATTGTGATATTTGCTTTATTGAACCTGCAATATCTTTGAGGTATGCCTGTTTAGATATACACAAATCTAAGACTACATTGTAATTGACAAGAACCTCTATCTCCTACTGAGAAATCCTGTTTGGTACATCTGAGCAACTCCAAGTCTTTGACATCACTCGCTCAAGTAGTGCCTCAAACCAGGTGAACTAGTCAGACACCAGTCCACTTTGGGCTTCAGTCTCTTAATAATTCAAGGCTTAACTTAGGTGCACTTAGGTCCCTTTCAGTGTTAACATTTACAACAGCACTGCCACGCCTTATACTCATAACAGGCATTCAATCAATGTTTGTGAAGTAAGTGCATATTAAGCTCACCAATGATTCAGGGGTTGACTGTAGTCCATTATCTTAAGCCCTAATTAAAATATTATGTAATTCAACTAATAATGAATTCTTACCACGTTCAAAGTACTGACAGGTTCTTTGTCTAATTCTATTCCAAACATTATATCCTTACAACTTAAGCCAACTGCAGCCAGACCTATAGTCTAATTTATGAACTGTATATATTTTTTTAAAAAGTAAGTCAGATTTTAGATTTTCCTCCTAAGATCTAACAAAGAAAATGTCTCATATTTAGAGGACAAGGACAAAGAGATGTTTTCATTGTCCTAGCATATAATGATCAAGGATGAAATGCATTTACGAATGTATCCTCTAAAAGGATTAAGGACTGAGATAGTTTTTAACAGCTCAAAGTGAAGAAATAACTCCATGAAAAATGACTCCAATACAACTGGTGAATATACTTCATGTTACACTCTCAAAACAATTCTGGAGATGAGTTTTTTCCATTCAGGATGAAAAGACAAGTGACCAGTCAGCTTACCAAATGTCAAGCAATTGAATGTGTACTGTGTAAGTCTAACCACGCCTCTGGAGAACCTTGGGTTCTGGGTTTCCCCTACCAAAATCACTTCTGATATTTTCAGAAGTGAATTTGAGAATTCTTTTCAATGTCCAAAATCACAAAGTAGCCACTAAGAAAACCAGAATTCCAAAATCATTTCAGAGGAGCTGAACAAGTATTTCCTCTCTTTGCTCCCACTTCACAGTTTTCTGTAGGAAAACCTCAACCTCTGACTGGGTTACTATGGTACAGGTACCACTGTAGATTTGCAATTTAGCTCTAGATGAAGTGAGACTGAGGAAAAATACCAAGTAAGCATACTTACTGTCAGAAGGAGTAAAATCATCTCCATTAGCTTGATGAGCCTTTGGGTGTCAGGTCTCAGGGTAACAAGAACTAAAGAAAATCTACCTTTCTGGTGTGGGAGGCTTAGTGAATGCTCTGAGTTCTTAGGACATGTATAGTAGAGCAGAGGCAGCAAAGTCTGGAGAGGGGTTGAGATGTATTTCCCCCTTGTAAATGAAATAATTCAACACACCAAAGGAGAATAGAAATAAACACCTGTGTATCTACCACCAACCCAGCTTTGTCAAACCTTAACACTTTATAGTTGTTTTAGATATTAAAAAAAACCACCAACATAGCTTTGTCAAATCCTAACACTTCATAGTTGTTTAAAATTTAAAAATATACATATATAACAATGAGACATTACAGACTTATTTGAAGTTTCCTATGTACACTTAACATGATGCCATTCTTTTCCTCTCTTTCTTCTGTGAGTACATATCCATAACAGTACATGGTATTGCTGTGAACATTCTGTAAATATCTATCTGCAACGTGTTTTTTTTTTGTGTAACACAGTTTTTCATATTATAGATATAGTTTTAGTTTGTTCATTTTTAACTGCTATATTTCATTGTTTGGAATTTTCTTCTAAAAATTAAAGTTTGCTTTTCATGTGAAGTTTTTTTTAATCCACTTGGGATTTATTTTTGCAAAGAATGTAAAGAAGGAAAACTATTCTGCTTTTCCCCTCATATGGATAACCCAATTATCCTAGCACCTGTGACTGAAAAGTAAGCTCCCTGAGGACAGAGGTCTTTGTCCCTGCCATCTATATTCCTAGTATCTGGCAATACCTGACACACATCAGGCACCATTATCCTCTTTCCTTATGTACTGGACTATTTCCATCTGCATATAACTTGCTATAATTTATCTTATGTTCACAAATCCTCTTAAGCCCATATATACCTCCAGTTACTGCCTCATTTCTCAATGGATCTGTTTGAGAGAAGTGTTGTTCATTACTAGTAACTTCCCTGTAGCTAAAAACAACCTTCAATTTTCATGTCTTATTTGACCCATCAGCAGCATCTTACTGAGTTGATCAAACTCCCTTCCTTTGTCTTCAAAGACACCATTCTCCTCATTTCTTCCTACCCCACACACCTCTCCCTTTAATACTTGTACTGGTTCTACCTTAAGATCCAAACATTTAAACATTTCAGGGCCCCAGGGCTTAGTTTTTAGGCCTCTATTCTTCTGTATATGTACTCATTCCTTTGTTCTTATCAGTCTTAAATAAGCAAATGTACATGACCTCCCAATTATTTCTCTCTAGCTAGTGCTTCTCCCTTGACTTCCAGAATCAGGTATCCAACTACCTACTTGACAGCTTCACTTGGTTGTCTAACAATTATTTCAAACTTTTTATCTAAAACTAAACTCCTAGTCTTTCTATCATAGCCTTCTCCATCTCAGTAAATGACATCTTCATCCTTTCAGCTGCAGAGGCCAAAACCTTGGAGTCATCCTTAACTTCTTTTTCTTTCACACCCCACATCTAAACCATCAGCAGACCCTGACAGCTTTGCCTTCATACTATACCCAGCAACTGACTACTTCTCCAAAATTCCATTGCTACTGCCTTGGTTCAGTCAAGCCACCCAGGACCTCATGATGGATTAACTACAATATCCTCTTCACTTGATTCCCACCTATTTTCCTCAAGACTCTACATAGTAGCCAGACTGATCCATTTAATGTATAAATTAGATCTTGTCATGCTTCTGCTTAAAACCTTGAAATACCACCTCATCAGAACAAAAGCAAACTCTTTAAAATAATCTGTAAGGCACTACAGGATCTCCCACCAGCCTTTGATCTTCGTGACTTTATTTCCCAATATTCTTCCTCCCTTGCTCTTTCTTAAACATGCCTCCAACCTTCTGCACTTGCTGTTCCCTTTCCCTGGAATGCTCTTCCCTAGGTAAATGCTAATGGTTAACTCTCTCACCTCCTCCTTTAGGTCTTTCTTGAAAGAAAACTTTTCACTGAGGCCTCCCCTAACTATACTACATGACCTTCTCTCCACAACTGATTCATAGCCACAGCCCTTATCACCATTTGACATAGTTGTTTTACTTGCTTGCTTACTGTTTCCTCTCACTAGGCACAAGGAGTTTTTGTTTTTTGTTTTTGATCACTGCTTTATCCCCAGTACCTAGAAAAATACTTTGCATATAAAAGGTGACCAGTAATTAGAGGAGGAGCCAAGATGGCAGCGTGAGTAGGGCAGCGGAAATCTCTTCCCAAAACCATATATATTTTTGAAAATAAAACAAATACAACTATTCCTAAAAGAGAGACCAGAGGATACAGTACAACAGTCAGGCTACATCTACATCTGCGAGAACTCAGCACCTCGCAAAGGGGGTAAGATACAAGCCGCGACCCAGCAGTACCCAAGCGCTCCCCCCACCCAGCCCACTGGTGGGAGGAAAGGAGTCAGAGTGGGGAGGAAGTGGAAGCGCAGGACAGCTAAATACCCAGCCCTAGTCATCTGCACCAGGAACGCAGACACACAGTGCATGGTGTGCTGGATATTAGGCAAACGGAACAGTAAAACCTGCGAGCGGGTCCCCGCAGCCAGGGCCCCCGGGACAAAAGAAAAGCGAGTGCTTTCTGAAAGTCTTAAAGGGATGGGTTTCACAGCTGGATGGAACCATCCTGGCACACTTGGCCCAGGAGGCTGGGAATCCCAGGGACCTTCGGGCACCCTAACCCCCTGGGTGGCAGCGCAGCTCTGAAGCCCCTCACGACAATAAACAGCCTCCCATCC